AGAGAACGAAGGCTCCGAGTTGATACCCGCAGGTGTGAATAACTGCAACATCTCATTTCCGGAGTTCACATCTTCAACCCTGTTAATAATTCTCGAATATTTATACATGGGAACCATCACGCAAGAAACATTATCGCTCAATAATGTTGTAGAGGCGTACTTATGCTCCGAATATTTCATGATCCCGCAACTCGAGGAAATTATAATCACATTCTTGGACAATGCGCTTAGATGCAGTGCTGACAATAATCTGTCAGCGAGGCTGCTAACGCAAGCAGCCGAGCTCATGCTACCATCAGCAGGCGACGCATTTTTTCGAACTTTATATAGTTGCTTGGCAATAACGTCACTGGAAACCATAGATTACGAAAATTTGAGCGAAGCCGCATTAAGATTCCTACTATCGTCGATTAACGAGGATGACACCGATGAAGAATTTGTCACCCCAGAGTATAGCGTATTCCGATATATAGTATTATGGTCGGCACACAAGGTTTCCTCCAGTTTAATGACACACTTTGAACTTTTATTACCGTCGGTCGACTTGGCAGAACGCCTTGACGCACAACAGTTGAATCAACTACGTAACTTGCAGGAGAGGCGTAATAGAAAATCCAAAAACTCCGAAATAAAAAAATCAATTGAACCAATATTATCTCCGCTATTGAGTTGTGTGAATTTCAACCTGATCCATCCTTCGATCCTAGCAAATATCGTGGAACCATTGGGAATCATTCCTCCCGAAATACTTGAGAAAGCGTTCCAATGGCAAGCTCAATTGCCACCTGGCAGTGGGCCCAAAAGGAATAGGGGGTTAATTGCAGCGAAACCCGATAATTTGAAATTGCACTGGGATCAGAAAGCTCACGGTAAGAAGATGGTGTTGCTGGAGCATGGGACGGTTATTAAAAGTCAGTTGAGAAAATTTGGATTTGCAAGAACTTCCTTACCAATTCGGGGATATGAGATTTACGAATGGGACTTCATAATCGAAGAAGCATGTAAGCACATGTGGATTGGGGTGTGTAGTATAAAAAATAGCAAAGTGAATTATTCAGTGTGGCTGGGGGGAACGAGTTATGGATGGGTTTTGGGATCGAATGGATATCTGGCTCATAATAAAGGAGGCATAGTTAGCGAAAATTCGAAGAGAAATTTGATAAATTACGGTGTCAAGTTTACAAAAGGAACGAGAATCACCGTACACCTGAATATGGGGAATAGGACATTGTCGTATTCCGTTAACGGAATAAATTTTGGCGAGGCGTTCAGAGATTTGCCAAATGAAGTTTACCCGGCGGTTTCTATAAAACGTCCTGGTAAGATTAGAATCCAACCTCACAAGGATAGGTCCTCGATGAGTTCGTTGGGATAATGACGAGGACGGATCCTTGTAATACATAAAATTGTAGAAATAATACTGTAAAACCAAAATTACCTTTTCTAACAAAAACAAAAAAAATTTTTTTTTTTTTTTATCCGTTAATCACCTTTTGACAACCACCCCATTCTATGCACCTTAAGCATTTTCGCCATTCCTTTCCTGTATTTTTTTTTTTTAAACTGCAACGCTTCATTCATCCTGTAATTTTCACTATGTACAAACTTTTAAAAAATTCTCATTCGTCACAGCAATGTATGTCTCCCTAAAAAAAGAATAATTAAGTCCACAGTTTCAAAAAACGATAAGAAGTTTAAAATTTGAAACTAAATTTCTGTTCCGAAATTATTTGCGATTATTTAAGTGAAAGATGATTCAAAAGAACTAATAAGCTTAAGGCGTCGGAAATGTTGCCAATTTTTAACCAAATATGATCTTTGTAAAAGACATCGTGTGAACACAAGGCCAATTCCACCTATCATGTGCAAAGTTTTATGTAGTCCGAGATACAAAGTTTGCACAACATTCGGAGCGATGGGAATTTGGCATTTCGTGACGCGCACTGTGTTCACGTGATAGCGCATTATAAAAATCCCTTCGTCGTAGCATTGAAAATCGTTGGGAGATCTCAATTATACATAATAAATTCATATTAACATCTGAAAACAAATGCTTTGATCGTGAAAATCAGACCGATCGAACCCCAAATCGTACGAGATTTCCATGACCTGATCCCACATCTCGGGATCGACAAGTAATTATATATTATAAAAGAATATCTCGTCTTTGAGAATCGTAGGAAAAAAAAAAAAAAAGTAAAAATTTGTTAAAAATGGCTGGAGATGGTTCCAACGAAATCTTAACTTCCAAGGTAAGCAAGCTATCGCCTTGTTCTAAAAAGCTGCAAAACAAATCCTTCCATTCTCGTATCATAAACTTGCGGAGATGCGTGGAATTACAAGAATCGAAGATTTATTTTGCCTCATTTGATGATAAAGAAAGACGAATAGTTAATGTATTTTTCCAATATATATATATATATGTGTGTGTGTGCAATAGAGTCCAGACTTGGTTCAAGAATACGAACTGATAGTCATCGGGGCTGGAATTGTTGGATGTGCGACCGCATATGCTTTTGGAAACCAGGGGAGAAAGGTTTTGCTGATCGGTAAAAGATTTTACACAACTCAGAAATAGCCGATTAGATTAGCGTAGCGATAGATCGACTTGTCTTTTTGACACTCTGTGTACTTGAAGGTCCGACATATTCACGCCGTTGTTTTTTTAATTTTCATCAAATGCAAAATTTAAATATGGGTGGGAACAGAGAGGGATATGAGCGAGCCGGATCGAATTGTCGGGGAGTTGCTTCAGCCTGGTGGCGTTGCGGCCTTGGGAGAACTCGGATTGATAAGTAATTACCATATATCTAAGGATAGAATTTCCTTATCCCGTGCTTCAACTTTCTTTTACTCATGACTTCTCGTCAACTAGATTGCCTCGAAAACATTGATTCCATCCCCTGTCATGGTTATGGAGTATTTTACAACGATGAGGTTGTGCACATACCTTATCCGAAGACCGAAGGGGGCACCCCCCACCGAGGCCGATCCTTTCATCACGGCAGATTTATCATGAACCTTCGAAGAGCCGTTTCCAAGGTGCCAAGGTAAGTTCGTTTTAATGGGATTTTTTGACTGTTGCTAATCAGACGTTGTTGGCCTGACAATCCTTCGTCAACCGTCCATCCAAGCGTTACGATTTATGAAGCCACGGCAAATGAAATAATTCGGTGTCCGATAACTGAACACGTGCTGGGTGTGATCTGCTCGCCCAAGGACAATAGAGAAACTTTCAGACGCGTGGGTAACGGGAGTCTTGAGTATTTGACATTGTTGTGATTTGTGATTTAGCCTTTACGATCTCGACATTAACCTATCATTAATTTAATCTCTGCCAGTTTTTCGCGCCGTTGACAATCGTCGTTGATGGATGCTTTTCAAAATTCCGTAAAGATTTTATCCCAAGAGAAGTTCAAGTGAAATCAAACTTTGTCGGGTAAGCGATTGATGACACTTTATAGTCGACAAGTTATAGCTGAAAAGTTGGATGAAATTTGACAAACATCTTCAAAAAATCTAGGTTTGTAATGAAAGATTGCGTGCTACCGTACAAGCATCATGGTCATGTTGTATTGGGAAAAACTGCGCCGATATTGATGTATCAAGTTTGTTTCTTTCTTTCTTTCACCATTCACTCCCCTAAAGTTGAATGTGAATTTGATTTGCGTTTTCGGTTCAACTTGGTCGATACCTTAGATTGGAAGTAATGAGACGCGCGTTCTGATTGACATTCCTGGTAAATTACCAAGCAATGGAACAGGTGCTTTGAAGGTATCAACGATGATATGCGTTGTCGAAGGGTTGCTGGTTAAAATGGAGTGATTTTTTAATGTCATTCCACCACATAGAAATACATCGAAATGGAGATTTTGCCCGCGATTCCGAAATCCGTGCAGGTACCACTTTATGACTTGCAGAAAACGAATTCTTGATCCGGCAGTGATAATGATGTTTGGAACTCACTTTGTTTTAAAATCTGATTAGCAATCATTTTACGAAGCAATACAACGTGAACGTCTCAGATCGATGCCAAATAGTTTCTTGCCTCCATCTACGAATACCACCGAGGGATTAATTATGTTGGGCGATGCAATGAACATGAGGCATCCTTTGACCGGAGGCAGGTATCCAGTTCCGTGCGTCGTTTCAGAGCAGAATTTCTAACATTGACATCTTAACATTTCAAAGGCGGCATGACAGTAGGATTCAATGATGTGGTAGTACTCTCGAAGCTTCTATCTCGAGAAGGTGTGCCCGACTTCAGTGACACCAAATTAATACTGATGAAAATGCATACTTTTCATTGGAAAAGGAAATTTAACAGCAGCACCGTAGTCAACGTTCTAGCCCAAGCTTTATACGCATTATTTGCTGCTAATGGTATGTGAAATCGTGCCGATTTTTAAAAAATTTTATCTTCCCTTTTGTCTTATAGTGAGTGACACCGATTATTTAGATCAAAATTTGTGCGTCCTGCGTGAAGCATGTTTCGAATATTTTAAGCTTGGCGGCATTTGCATTGATCATCCTTGTGGGATGCTTGCCGGGTAGGCGATTTAGGATATGAGCTGTCATCATGTTGAATGTCGTTTTAATGTTTTTCCGTTGCTACCGAAACACAGAGTATTTACAAATCCGTTTCTGTTAATAACCCATTTCTTCGCCGTTGCTGCCTTGGGAATATGGAGACTATTTGTTAATGGAAAAATGGTGCAAATTCCCGAGAATATCGTGAAGAGTTTTATGGTATTTTACACAGCATGCGTGGTGATTCTCCCTTATTTGTGGTGGGAAACAAAATCTTGAAAACAAGAGTGAACATGAAGAGGATTATACGAATTTACACGCGCATTTATTTATAATAACGCAGACAATTCAATATCTTGTAAAATTAGAATTCATTTCGGCACCAATACACATACATACATACACACATTTATTTTAATAACGTTAGCCTTCAATGAAACAAATTTAATTGTAATGATACAACTAGCATAAAGATGATTAATTAGTATCCAGAATTTTTTAATCTTATTAAAAAAAAAAAAAAAAAAATTCTCTGAAAAAAAAAAAATAATAATAATTCACTTTTGAAAATCGACTATATTAGGTAGTACATCAAGTGTTTAACATCAATCAATCAATTGGTGATCAATAAAAAATATTTAAGCATTAAACTCACCTTAGTAACATACAGTATGTCATATTTGAACAATAGGCGTGACACGATGTGGTCAACTTGTCATTCTAATTGTGCCAAAAACTCGCGTTACGCGAAATTTGGACCAAGCAAAACTTGGGTTGCATTACAGCGCTTGGGTTGCATATGCAGCTCTTGGGTTGCGCGAAATTAATGCACAATCATTCTGTAATTACTAATCCAAATAATTATGCTCGCGAATTTGGGTTGCACGAAATTTCGATTGCATGAAACCTGGGGACGCTCGAAACATGACAGTGCATTCGGGGGGGGGAAATTAAAAAATTATTTATTTTATTATTTACATCATTAATTAATGTAATAATAAATTGATCGAATGAAATTGCAAATACTTTCATGCGTGCATGCGGTCTCGGATCATGTGACCAAGACCTTTTTGTTATGATCATTGGCTAAAGTTGATTCTACGGTGCGAAACTGTATCGCAGTTGTCAAAGAGTGAAGTCTCGATTAAGCGAATCAGCATTGGTTACATGAAATTAACCTTGATTATGTAAAATTAAGCCTTGGTTGCGCGAAATTAGACTATGCGCAAAGTTAATCTATGAATTTGATCTATGCGAGTATGCGACGCGTAGTGACATTACATATTACACCTGGGTAATCGACTAATCAAATTATTTCAAACGAACAACTCTAAAAAACATTTAATAGACATTAATGCGGTACACGGAGTGCCCATTCTTATCATAAACAAAAAGTAGATTACATAATAAAATAACGAAACATAATTTGTTTTATCGTTATCATTATCATCATCATTACCATCATCATTCTTATCTTGGCCCAATAGCCAGGCCGATTAGGGAGGGGGTGTTTACTGAATCTTCTAAATCATTCTCGCATTTGCACAAATAAAATGTGCGAACTCTTTAAACTGGCCGGTATATTTCGTCTTGGCCAACGACAATGGAGGGAAACCATTGCCAGCATGTTGCCAAAATGTTGCCAAAATGTTGCCAGTGCCGATAGAAAACCTATTAAATTGATAATATTGCCATTCGTCAAATATGGTTGCATCTTTAACGTTGTCAATGTGTTTCAATCAAATTTTACGGAAGTATTTGTTTTTTTTTTTTCAATACACCACAAGTGCACACTGTATAGCTCTTGATTTAATTGGAATAAAAAAAAAATTTTATTTATTGTTTTTTTTTTTTGAATGACATTTTGATTTTACAAGTATTTGATAAAATTCACGTATGCAGTAACTTTGCAATCACAATTTAAAATGAAATAGATACTATTTGTGAAAGATACTGTATATACTGTACATACAGTATATCAACACGCGAGACATGGTTGAAATATGTTACATTCAATAGATTTTAGGTTTCAAATATTTTTCTACAAACATATCATCCGTCTCATAATTTTTATAAACAAGCAAGAACTTTTTAAAATAGAACTAGCGCTTTAAGACAATTATTATATTAACCAAACAAAAATGTATTCATTTGATATACATATCATGTCATTATAATATTTGTGCACGCAGTAAAGCGATTCAATCACCATAAACCATTCAAAATAATCAAGTTGATTCAATCCTTCCTGAGAATTTTAGAAGTTGCGCCGATAGTAATTAAGTCGCCAACCTTATCGATCAACTAATTTATGCACGTTTGCAATAAAAGATGTATTGATGATATTATATTTTCTTCCAATTCTTTTTGAATTCCTGGAGCTGTTCAAAATAAACGTACTGTATATTAAATCTCAAAAACATATGACCGCCAATAAAAATATACACAATATTTATTTATATATAAAAATATTATTATTTAGGACTTTTTCTACATTATCTCGGTTGTATGCTTCTAGACCAAGTTTGTTTAGTGGAACTTTCTATGTTTTCTGAATTTTTTATGCTTTGATACTTTGATCTTTGGTTCATCGGGGATGGATGCGATATTGACGGAACTGGGGGTCGTGGTGGTAGTGGTGGCGGTGGTGGTGGTGACGTCTTGGGCAGTAACGTTGGAGGGGGAGTCCGGATTGCAGAATGTCCAAGTGATCGGTATTCTACCTAGGCTCTGATCCGCAATTTGTCTGTTGGAGAGTAATGGGTTAGCGCGTGGTCTATCTTTCGGCTTCTTCATGAAATCAGAATGTACGATTGAAATCAACTTACGAGAATGCAGTGGGTGACAAATCAAGTGATCCGTAGGCGCATCCCATACACTTTATAATAATTGACGAAGGTTAACTTCACATAAAGTCTTATTTTAATACGTAATTAAAGGCAAAGAACATACCTCATCAACAATCTTACAAATAACAGACTTTCCATTGTAGTTAATGTTCACATATTGACCACACAAGGGATTGGCGTTTGGATTTCCAGGGTATTTTTGAAATTGTTCCCAATTCTAAGGCGTTATGTTAATTATAGAGATTAGAAATCCCACAAGTAAAAATTCATAGAGGATTGTTAATATAATGCTTACGATAGCAACGATTAAATCGCTTGCACTGTTGGTATGACCGCAGGCACCCAATCCTGGAGCATAATAAGTACCATCTCCAGAATACGTCGTTTGGTCCTGAGGAGCGGGAACAGATTGAGTTGGACTTAGAAAAAGGAGAACTATTGCCGTAATGGCGATAAATAAAAAGGATGAACCGGTTGAATTCATTATTATATAAATTAAAAGAATAGGCTGAGGTGTGGTATATGTGGAAGTGGTTCGGAAGGAGTTGATGCCTTGCACGATTTATTCAAGTGAGTATTATAGTAGTGAGGAAACAATGACGAGAAGGTTGGTTATGCAAGGTTCTTTAGGTCGACCTAGCGATCCGTTTTAAAAAGAGGGTAAAGGAGGAAGGGGGTGCTTCTTAAGTTATGATAAACTTAAAACGCGTTCCGTAGGGTGAAAGGAAGAAAAGACGAAGTGAGAATTAGTTCGAGGTCATGCTACTTTTATACTTATGCACTCTCCGGAATCCATTCTTCTACAGCTACAGCTACATTACACGACATAATGACTTTATTATTGATTAATATTTATGAGATGGAATTCTGTGTGATGTATGTAAGACAAACATATTTATTATTCATTAGGTGTGTTATTGCCACCACAATTATCTCTATACCAAAACAAAGACACGCGATGACCGAGAAAGCTCTTTTTCATTATTTTATTCTCCGATCTTACGTGCTACTTCAATTCTGCAGCAAATGAATCACCACAGTTACTGTTATCAGCAAGCGACTTCGAATTTTACGTAAGGATAAGGTCTGTGCGATTTGGTACAATAAATTTGCGTTTTTTATTTTCCAACTTGTGATCATTGAAGGATCCATTCACTATAAGTTTTCAAGTAACATCCCATAACATTAAAGGATAGATTCGGATCAAAGTTATTATACTTTCTCACGTGATAATATTAGGAGTGAAAAGCAACATACGAACTATACGTAGTTAGCCTTGTTCGCTGTCGTATCACAGAAAAGCGATGATTGGTCCTATTTTGAATTAAATTATTCTAGTCTTACCCCATATGTTGAAAAGTAATAATTTAAAGAATAATGATGAATTGATGATTGTGTATTCTTTCTCGACTCTTTGGTTTTGATTGCTGGTTTCGGATATAAAAAAAGTTCTCTCACAATATATGGGAGGGCAACTAGAATTTGAAATTGGTTGCGAACCAATAAAACTTCATTCTATCTTGACGTTGTTATGAATGACCGAAATTTAATGCTCACCTTTTTTAATTAATGATCGGAATCTGCGTAACAAATATATCATGCGCTTTAATTAACTTCAAATTTAATAAACGAAAGCGCCAAGAAAAATATTGAGAATTCGCTAGTGGCCTGTTTTATTAAACTCGAGGTATAAAAAAGGTAATAATGCACTGACCATTATGAAATAGAAAAATGGAAACTCGAGATTTAAGTCTTAAAAAAGTGAAATACTGTAGAACTTATATGCTTAGAAGAATCTATAAGGAAAAAAATTTTTTTATACCATCGATTCTAATTCAATTAATAGTTTAAATAAATCTAGCTGTATTATCATGAAATCCAATATAAAGTAAAGAAAGAATTCAATTAATTCAAAAAAGAGGTTGGTCATTTTATTTACAAATTCTCAAAGTAGTTTACTTAATGTTATCGCCGATACATTTCTTTTCACTATTCATAAAAATCAAATTATACTTGGATAATCTAAATTAATTATTGATCATTACTCAATTGGAATGGATTACTAAAATTAAAATTCGACAAACCATTTTTTATTGAAATTCTAGAGCTTGCTGGTATAGTTTAAAATAATAAAAAAAGTTATTTACGGTATAGTTAACCCCCAAATCTTTTTTTAATGCAATTTCTCTATATACTGTATTCAATTTCAATTTTGTAATTATTAAGGAATCAAAGGTTTTATCTTTATATAATCCATTTTTTTTAATAAATGATCTTTTAATGAATTTGAATTAAAAACTATTATTCAATAATTTTAAAATATTTTCATTTAAGGTAGCTCACAAAAGTCTTACACCATCAAAAATTTAAATATCCAATCTAATTAATTCATAACAATCAATATT